GATGTGCTTGCCAGCAACTTCCCCACCGCATTTCTGTACACAAAGGGCGGCATCCGTCCCCTGGGTATGAGCAACCGGACCTTCTTCCAGCATGTGTCTACGCGTGTGCCACAGCGGCAGCTCAGCGGCAACCTCCTCATGCTCGCCTGCATGGTGGACGTGCTCAACATGGAGGACGCAAAAGTGCAGACATGGGTTACAGTGAAGTGCTGCCAGCAGGACATCGACACGGTGGGCGCCATCCCGCGAGAGGCTGTCAAAGTGATGGCGGACATCCTGGCATTGCCGAAGATGCACCCGGATCGCCGCCACCTGCTCCAAGACATGTCACCTCTCGTGCACACCCTCATCACCTCTCTTCGGTGAACAGTCGCACGCATCGACATGACAGATGCATATTACCACAACGTGCACGCCAATCTACGTGGTGTAGCCACCGCAACCGGGCTGCCAATCCTCATGTTTAATGTCAACCCCGCCGACTTGCACAGTGCGGCTGCAGTCGTGGCCGCTGGGCAGTTTCTGGAATTTGGCGAGGATGGTGCTCCGTTGTGGGAGGAGCGTGTCATGGACAAGTGGTGGCGGGTGCGAAACAACCCCTGCACCAGCCAAGCACTCCTCAACACGGTTAAGATCGCCTTCATGGACATCCTTTTTGGTTTCAAACCTGGCGACAAGCGGCAGAGCAACCCCGACTGCTTCTGTGGCACCGTGTTCCACATCTGCATCTGTTACATGGCGGCCCGCGGTGAGGAACTGCATCTCTTCGCAGTGCCCTGCATGATGGCTGACTTTTGCAATGCAACACTCCGGTGCTGCTATACTACACATTCCTAATATGCGGTTTCAGCCGCACATGCCGTACACAAAGCACCATACACCCGTGAATGTGAAGCACCAGGGCATGCGACCGCGAGTACACACAACGCGTGTGCACGTGAATGTATGACCGCATGAAACCGTACGTGTAGTACTGCAAATATTTGCCGAATGCAAGGATGTGAGATGTGAGGTGTGACGGTGAGACATGTATGTGACAAGGATGTATGGTGGGGATGTGAAGTGTGAGGATGCGACAAAGATGTGAGGTGTGAGGATGCGACAACTGGGGCCGTGACAGACTGGGACTGTACTCATGCATCATGGGGATGCGACACGGCCCCATGTATGCACTACAGTGAGGCGGTGAGGACAGGCACCCGCCCAGACGTGAGAATGCAACGGCACTAGAACACGAGAACACAAGCATGCGTCCAGGGTGTGGCAATAGCTGGGTTCTGCTCATGACGACCATCAAATGCAGGATCGTCCGCGCAGACTGCTGTTACTCCGCTGCTGACGATGCTGCCACCGTGGTGATTTCATGCAATTAGTGTGATGCGAGCCTAGGCGGCATTATTCACTTCACCGCTCACAATCCGCGGACATTCCTTGTGCCGTGCTGCTATCAGGGCCCCTCATCGATTGTTGTTATGGATCGTTGCTGTTGGATGCCAGACGTGAACCTTGAGAATGACCTCCTGCTACGGCACTGCTGGCGGTGGCTTGCTACTAAGCCACCCTCCATCACAGATGTAATGTAACTGAGTCCTCGCCACTGCTTCCCCACATTATTACCGTTCTCACCTACGCACCACACAGCACCTTATGCACCACACACCCACACCTGGCCTGGGAGTCGAAGCTACGGTCCACTTCGCGGCGCGCCGCGGTCCCCTTCGCGGCGCAGCGCGGTCCGGTTGTCCGGTTGTCCGGAGCGTTTTGGAAATTCCGGGTCGGGAGCGTGCCGTACACGCTTAAGACAGTGCCGCAAAGAACGGTAGGTCGCCGGTTCGATCCCTGCAGCGATTATGTCTTATGTTTCATATATGTGCATATATGCATATATGTAAATGCGATATGCAATATGCAGCGATATGCGATATGCAGCGCTATGCAATTTGCGATATGCGATATGCGATATGCGGTATGTGATATGCGATATGCCATATGCAGCGATATGGGATATGCGATATGCGATATGGGATATGCGATATGCGATATGCGATATGCGATATGCGATATGCGATATGCGATATGCGATATGCGATATGCGATATGCGATATGCGATATGCGATATGCGATATGCGATATGCGATATGCGATATGCGATATGCGATATGCGATATGCGATATGCGATATGCGATATGCGATATGCGATGCATTCTGCAAGCATATGCCATATGCGATCTGCAAGCATATGCCATATGCGATCTGCAAGCATATGCGACCTGCAAACATATGTGATCTGAAAGCATATGCTATCTGCAAGCATATGTGATCTGCAAGCATATGCCATACGTGATCTGCAAGCATCATGCCATATGTGATCTGCAAGCATATGCCATATGCGATCTGCAAGCATATGTGATCTGGAAGCATATGCCATATGCGATCTGCAAGCATATGCCATATGCGATCTGCAACCATACGCCATATGCGATCTGCAAGCATATGCCATCTGCAAGCATATGCCATTATGCGATCTGCAAGCATATGCCATTATGCGATCTGCAAGCATATGCAATCTGCAAGCATATGCCATATGTTTGCAGATGCGATCTGCAAGCACATGCCATATGCGATCTGCAATCATATGCCATTATGCGATCTGCAAGCATATGCCATTATGCGATCTGCAAGCATATGCCATTATGCGATCTGCAAGCATATGCAATCTGCAAGCATATGCCATATGTTTGCATATGCGATCTGCAAACACATGCCATATGCGATCTGCAAGCATATGCCATGTGCGATCTGCAAGCATATGCCATATGCGATCTGCGGGCATATGCGATCTGCAAGCATATGCCATATGCTTGCATATGCGATCTGCAAGCATATGCCATATGCGATCTGCAAGCATATGCCATTAACGATCTGCAAGCATATGCCATTATGCGATCTGCAAGCATATGCCATTATGCGATCTACAAGCATATGCAATCTGCAAGCATATGCCATATGTTTGCATATGCGATCTGCAAGCATATGAAATCTGCAAGCATATGCCATATGTTTGCATATGCGATCTGCAAGCATATGCAATCTGCAAGCATATGCCATATGTTTGCATATGCGATCTAAGCAAGCATATGCAACGTATGCGATCTGCAAGCATATGCCATATGCGATCTGCAAGCATATGCCATATGCGATCTGCAAGCATATGCCATATGCGATCTGCAAGCATATGCCATATGCGATCTGCAAGCATATGCCATATGCGATCTGCAAGCATATGCCATATGCGATCTGCAACCATATGCCATATGCAATCTGCAACCATGTTCAATCTGCAAGCATATGCGATCTGCAAGCATATGTGATCTGCAAGCATATGCGATCTGCAAGCATATGCAATCTGCAAGCATATGCCATATGCGAATCTGCAAGCATATGCAATCTGCAAGCATATGCCATATGCAAACATATGCCATATGTAAGCATATGCCATATGCAAGCATATGCGATCTGCAAGCATATGCGATCTGCAAGCATATGCCATATGCGAATCTGCAAGCATATGCCATATGCGATCTGCAAGCATATGCCATATGCGATCTGCAAACATATGCCATATGCGATCTGCAAGCATATGCCATATGCGATCTGCAAGCATATACCATATGCGATCTGCAACCATATGCCATATGCGAACTGCAACCATATGCAATCTGCAAGCATATGCGATCTGCAAGCATATGTGATCTGCAAGCATATGCGATCTGCAAGCATATGCAATCTGCAAGCATATGCCATATGCGAATCTGCAAGCATATGCAATCTGCAAGCATATGCCATATGCAAACATATGCCATATGTAAGCATATGCCATATGCAAGCATATGCGATCTGCAAGCATATGTGATCTGCAAGCATATGCGGTCTGCAAGCATATGCGATCTGCAAGCATATGCGATCTGCAAGCATATGCCATATGCGATCTGCAAGCATATG